GGCAAGGGTGACGTCAACGCACGCGCCAGTCAGGTCAGTGAGAGGAGGTCAAAAGGTCGCAGCAGTAATGCGAAGGTCATGACGGCCAGACGAGAGCAGAGTCGCAAAAGCAGAAATCAAACGTGCACAATGAACGGAGCAGAAACGGCAAAGTTACTGAAAAAATCAGAAATGCACAAATGAAACTAAACATGAGTCGATGAACGACTGCCTGCAAAAGTTTAGACAGTTTAGTTTAAAGTGGGAAAAACTGCACTGTAGTGACACCGTGTGGTGGAGAAAGGTAAAGGCCTGGATTTTTAAAAGTGAGACAAATTTAACAGTTTGTGGAAAAACTGAACATTTGATCTGGAGTCGTGTTTGGGAACGATGCAGCTCTCACTGGGAACACGATCCGTGGTTCCAGACAAAGTTTCTTAGAGCTGTTGGAGAGGTTTTGACCTGGTGCCACTCGGTGTGTTTGTGGCACAATGTGTGCCGTGATGAACACAAACTAACATTAAACTGCCTCTATGAGAGTTTTCAAACATTATGTTGAAATATAGAAAAGGATCAGTATGAGTCAGTGGTAAAGGCTGGACTCCCATGGTATGTCATGTACTGGTGACCTCTGACATCAGAAGAAAGAAGAAATTATGTTCTAAGGACTGAATGCCTATGTTGTTGAACTTGATCATTGTGCCAAATTGTTAATAATTGTTTATAAGTTTATAGAACAATTAGGGGCCGGGAATGTATAGGATAAAGGTCTAATCATCTCTTAGTTTACTCAGATTGTGTATATTTGTTAATAATTTGAATCATTTTGGATAAGAATAAGTGTAAGATAATGGGGAATTTCAGTTTTTACTTTATAATTTGTTTAGCGTAAGATTTACAGTTAAATTGTATTTTCTTGCCTTATTTAATTTTTATGTACTGTTCCTTTAACACACGGTAACTGTGCACGGGGGGAGCGTTCGCGACGGGCAGTGTGGAGTAACGGGGGCTTTAACTAGCTGTGGAGAAAAACGGTTTCCTTATCGTGTTTGCGGTGTACAGGAACATTGAAACGATCACTGTATTTCAAAACTGTGGAAATAAATGTTTGACTGTTTGTTTTTCGACTACAAGCGGACTTTGTGGATTAAGTTCAACCGCACTAAGACACGCGTACGGCCCAACTACCAGCTAGTGCTTCCGTGGTATTACATCCTGTGATCATGAATAAACAGTAACATCAATCATCTGGATGATTGTTCCTTCGTTGCATCGTTGCTTCACCCAGGCTCCGCCCACTGTACAGCTGTCCTGGCTGTGCTGTGATACTGTGGATGTTTGTGTGGCTTCATTAATCCGAATCATTGAAAACAGCAGCTCTGTGTGATCAGAGCTTCATTTAATGAAACGTTTTAGTTCAGAGTTGACGTTTGCGTGAACGCGTCGGCGTCGAGGCTGGAAGCGTCCGGTTTGCTCACCGTGCTTTTGTCCCCGCCGCAGGCCGGCCAGACAGGGCTGATGCTGGCGGTCAGTCACGGCAGGATGGACATGGTTCGAGCCCTGCTGGCTCACGGCGCCGACGTCAACATCCAGGACGACGAGGGCTCGACGGCGCTCATGTGCGCCAGCGAGCACGGCCACGTCGAGATCGTCAAGCTGCTGCTGGCCCAGCCGGGCTGTGACGCCACGCTCAGCGACAGTGTGAGTTGTGTACACCGAGAACTCTTTGTTGT